CTATAACTTCATAAGAAGTGCCATTTTTTACAGAGCAAAAGGGCCCATTTTACCTTAAAAAAGTTCCCATTTCACTTTAGACAAGTGCCCCCTTCATCTCTGATAATTACCCTATTCAAATTTGAGAGGTGCCCCTTTTACTTTGACCAGTGCTTCTTTTCCTTTGTAGGAAGTGCCTCTTCCACTTTTAATAACTACCTACTTTAACTCCCATAAGCAAACCTTTTATTTTCACGTGTGCACCTTTTCCAATCTAATAAGTACCCCTTTTCCGTATGATAAATACCCCCATTAAAACAAAAGAGCTCCTTCCCCTTCTCATAAATGCCCCCTTTTCACCTATTAAAATTGTCCCTTTTCATTTTCATAAGTACCCCTTTTCATATTTAGTCAGTGCCTCTTTTCAGGGGCGATACATGCCCCTTTACACCTCTGACAATTTCCTTTTTAATGATGATACGTGCCCCTTTTCCTTTCTAATAAGGGACCTGTCCCTTTTTCATTAATTCCCATTTTCAAATCTTATGAATGCTTCTATCAAAATTTGATGGGTGCCCCAATTCCGTCGACGAATTCCCATTTACCATTCTCATAAGTGCCGTTTTTAATCCCTGGCGAGTGCTTCTTTTCAGGTATAAGAAATAGTGTCTTATCCTTTTCGATAAGTGTCTCCTTTTCTTCTCTTTTCAAACGTGCACCTAAATTATTCAAAGTGAATATTAAGGCGATTTCTTCCAAAGCTCGCTCGCTACACTCACTCGCATTGATTTCATAGATGATATAATTATGTTACTTATCAAAGGTTTTTCAGTCTTCCGTTATGAGAATGTGAGTATAACCCCATCAGTATTGGGTTTAATGCTCTTTATAAGATGTAATTTTTTGCACTGCGAGCTCACAAATATTAACATTTTTCCTCGCTCGCATATGAATATTCAGACCATCATACCCAACTGCAACTGCAAAGTATGATGTAAAAAGAGAAATAAATATTGAAAGCATCCCTGTTAATTTAACCACAGTGTATAGGGGTATAAACCAATGTCTAACAAATTGTATATCTTCGATTTGAGATTTCCCTTTGTAGGTGCCCGTTTTCCCAGAAAGGGCACTTTTGTATTGGTCCCATCCCCCAATTTAGAAATAACAAAAAGTTACAACCCACGAGACCAACAGCCTACCGTACTGACGATAAAGGCCTCCTAGGTCTTCTATACACTTTTCAGTGACCGGTGCACTAGACATACGGCCCTAACTATACGAGACAGACCTACAGCTAGATCAACACCCTTTTCCTCTTACCACATTTACTTCTTTGATTTGTAGGTTTCGTGTGCTTTCGTTCTACTGTGGTTACTCCGTGATACAGATATTTATTGCTAGACAATTATCATTATTTAGGGGAAAAAAATGGAAAGTAGCTTTTAAAGGAAATCATAAGAGTTAGCAATCTGAGTGGTGATATTCATTCGGTATTTCAATCCATGATAATTAATTAATGATTCATACAATTACAACATTATTACGCTTTTTCTTTTAGATCCCAATGCACTGACCTGTTTCGCGAATTATTATGAATTCCTTAAACGTATTTATTATTGTTTGCGCAAAATAATATTTAAAAAAAGCACCAGATACACTCAAGCCAAATAATTTGATAAAATAAAAAGCAGGAAACTACCTTTCCAAGAAGAGCCGGGGCAGCCACTGTGAGACCACCAACAGGAATTACATTGGGTGCCAATGGATAGATAAATTCCGACGCAAAGTCAACATTTGTCAAATGAAGGTCAAAATCGGAATAGCTATGAACAAAGTGTATATCGGGAAATCCAAGTCTCTTTCCTATTTCAGAATAAGGAGCGTAGAATAGGAAATCGCCTAGAATTTTTACAAATATGGAAGAGCATAGATTATGAAGCCTTTGTGCGAAATTCATCTTGTTTGGAAGACCTGTTGTAATTTCAGGTTGGTATGCATAGTTGAATGACGAACCTGACGCAGATAGAAAACCACTCCAAGGGGGCGTGGGTGTGATTGCAATCATGGCTACAGAGTTTTTATTTCTTCTTAAAATCTCCCTGATCAGGAGTCCACAGGGCCAAGAAATATCCAACATCATTGCGTTGAACCCTTCTAATCTAGACTCAAATTGTTTATCAGAAAGCAGGAATTCACAGTCATGAGCCATACGTTTTGACATCAACTTCATCATTTCTATAAACTGCTTATCCTGGTTGACGAAAGCTAGATTATTCAAGGTTTTGAACATCTCACGAACTTCATGGTCGGGTACAGGATGCTTGAAAATTTCGTAGGAAAAGTTCGAGAACTTCGGGTTCTTTACTCGATGTTCGTAGTAAGCGCTACTTATCAAGAAAGTCACATTGTGACCTCGGGCAACTAAACTTTGACCAATGGCTGATGCAGCCAAGAAATGGCTACCCTCTCCATAAAGCGCAGATATGAGAATGTTAGCAGCTTCAACTTTAAGAGGTTTTGAGCAGAAACTTCCCAAGAGTATAAGGAGAAGGCTGAACGACGCCATGTCGAATCTCTAGTGATGCAACATCGAATGATGAGGATCGCCTATATATGAATGCTGCATTTCAACGACTGTACAAATTCAGCATTACGTAATTATTCAAATGAATTATCTCAAATATATATAGCGACAATACAAAGTTCATACAAACGGAAAGAAAAGAGTTGCAAGGGCGTAGTGTGTGGACGGTTGCAGGTGTGCGTGCGTGTGTGTAAATTTAAAATATGATAGGTTCATATTTGATGCCTAAACTGACAATCCGTGATGCCCGCGTCACACTATTCCGAATTTGACATAAGATGGACACACGATGAAGGAAAATTCCAAATTCGACTCTGATCGGAAACACATCGGGCCATATCGGGCCATTCGTGAGGGCATCTGAGGCAAGTCGTATGACCGCCGGTCGATTTTTCAGGCTCCGGCAGCAACTTCGTGAGCGGTGGCAAAATTTGTGCCGTGCCAAAAAATTGCCCGAAGACCTTGCGAAGGTTCATTTTCGTGTTGTATGCGTGAGTCCATGTTGCCCTTCGTAAGGCCATCGTGAGGGCACCTTGTCAAATCGTGTCATCTTCGTAATTACTTCATGTGATCATCGGTGCCATCGGGCACTAATCGCCTCACGAAGACAATACGAAGGAAACAAAAAGCTGCCCGAATGTCTTCGGAAGGCAACACGAATACGTGAAACCCTCGCAATGCCATCGTGTAGCCATCGTATTAGAGTGCGATGACATCTAGATGGGACCACGGTGTCGGCGAAGACATCCGAATTTAAGTAGCGTTTCCCATGTGTCATGGTAACGTGGACATAATGTTGCAATAAGCTATATTTCTCGTATCTATACGGATTTGTTTTTCAGATTCAATATTTTTATCATGTTATGCAATGTTTTATATGATATTATGTGTTTTTAATTTTGTTTGTAAACTTTTGTAATTCGGCTAAACGCCGCGATGAAAGTTTTATTTGAAATAAACCATTTTGAATGAATGAATAAATGAATATAAAAAGCCAGCCTCTAAGCCAGAGGCTTTTTCAAGTACCCCAAAAGTGCACTTTCTTACGAAGAAAAAGTGCCCCTATAACTTTCTAAGAAGTGCCATTTTATACAGAGCAAAAGGGCCCATTTTACTTTAAAAAGTTCCCATTTCACTTTTGACAAGTGCCCCCTTCATCTCTGATAATCACCCTATTCAAATTTGAGAGGTGCCCCTTTTACTTTGACCAGTGCTTCTTTTCCTTTGTAGGAAGTGCCTCTTCCACTTTTAATAACTACCCACTTTAACTCCCATAAGCACACTTTTTATTTTCACGTGTGCACCTTTTCCAATCTAATAAGTGCTCCCTTTTCCGTATGATAAATACCCCCATTAAAACAAAAGAGCTCCTTCCCCTTCTCATAAATGCCCCCTTTTCACCTATTAAAAGTGTCCCTTTTCATTTTCATAAGTACCCCTTTTCATATTTAGTCAGTGCCTCTTTTCGGCAGGGGCGATAAATGCCCCTTTACACCTCTGACAATTTCCTTTTTAATGATGATACGTGCCCCTTTTCCTTTCTAATAAGGGACCTATCCCCTTTTCATTAATTCCCATTTTCAACCCTTATGAATGCTTCCATCAAAATTTGATGGGTGCCCCAATTCCGTCGACGAATTCCCATTTACCATTCTCATAAGTGCCGTTTTCAATTCCTGGTGAGTGCTTCTTTTCAGGTATAAGAAATAAGTGTCTTATCCTTTTCGATAAGTGTCTCCTTTTTTTCTCTTTTCAAACGTGCCCCTAATTTATTTTAAGTGAATATTAAGGCGATTTCTTCCAGAGCTCGCTCGCTACACTCACTCGCATTGATTTCATAGATGATATAATTATGTTACTTATCAAAGGTTTTTTCAGTCTTTCGTTATGAGAATGTGAGAATAACCCCATCAGTATTGGATTTAATTATCTTTATAAGATGTAATTTTTTGGACTGCGACCTCACAAATTTAACATTTTTCCTCGCTCGCATATGAATATTCAGACCATCATACCCAACTGCAAAGTATGATGCTTAAACAATATCTTGTATGATGCACAAAGAGAAATAAATATTGAAAGCATCCCTGTTAATGTAACCACAGTGTATAAGGGTACAAGCCAATGTCTAATAAATTGTATATTTTCGATTTGAGATTTCCCTTTGTAGGTGCCCTTTTTTCCAGAAAGTGCCCTTTTGTGTTGGTCCCATACCCTAATTTGGAAGTCGCTCCGACGCCCCTGCTCTGAGTATCATTAATTTCCGATCAGCAATTGAATTAACCACCGTCGGTCGAAGGTTTTATACCATCGGGAGGTCACGTGACGCCTTCGTGACCTAGTTGGAACGCATCGTAATCTCAATACGACGTCGTGTAGCCATTGCGTGGACTTCGTGTGACCTGCAGGTAGGCCTACACTTCTTATTACAAATTCACATCTTCGTGTTGCCTTCGTGAGTGGTTCGGGTGCCATCGTGTGACCTGTTGTAGGCATCGTACTTGCCTCGGCTGTTGGTTGGCTGTTGACTAAGTTCGGGGCCATCTTCGTGGGAAGTTCAAATTTCCTTAATCGTGTGTCCATCTTATGTCAACTTCGGGACAGTGTGACGCGGGCATGAAAGAAGGAAGTTGAGGCAACAATGTTATCGACCCTTTTTATCTGTATATTTTTGGGGTGCATGGTGTTTCCAATGGTGTATTTCAGACACAATCATAACAAAAAGTTACAGCCCACGAGACAACAGCCTACCGTACCGACGATAAAGGCCTCCTAGGTCTTCTATAGACTTTTCAGTGACCGGTGCACTAGACATACGGCCCTATATACGAGACAGACCTACAGCTAGATCAAAACTTTTTTTTATCTTGCCACATTTAGTTCTTTGATCCGTCGGTTTCGTGTGCTTTCGTTCTACTGCGGTTACTCTGTAATACAGATATTTATTGCGAGATAATTATCATTATTTGGGGGAATACAAATGGAAAGTAGCTTTTAAATGAAATCATAAGATTAGCAATTTGAGTGGTGATGTTCATTCGGTATTTCAATCCATGATAAAGATTCATAAAATTACAAAATTATTAAGTTTCTTTTTTAGATCCCAATACACTGACCTGTTTAGCGATTTATTTTGAATTCATTAAATGTATGTATTATTGTTTGCGAGATATTTTTTTTTATCAGCACCAGACACACTCAAGCCAAAGAATTTGATAAAATAAAAAGCAGGAACGTACCTTTCCAAGAAGAGCCGGGGCAGCCACTGTGAGACCACCAACAGGAAATACATTGGGTGCCAATGGATAGATAAATTCCGACGCAAAGTCAACATTTGTCAAATGAAGGTCAAAATCGGAATAGCTATGAACAAAGTGTATATCGGGAAATCCAAGTCTCTTTCCTATTTCAGAATAAGGAGCGTAGAAGAAGAACTCAGCTAGAGCAGCTACAAATGTGGAATAGCATAGATTATAAAGTCTTTGTGCAAAAGTCATGTTGTTTGGAAGACCTGTTGTCATTTCTGTTTGGTATGCATAGTTGAATGATGAACCTGACGCAGATAGAAAACCACTCCAAGGAGGCGTGGGTGTGAATGCAATCATCGCTACAGAGTTTTCATTTCTTCTTAAAATCTCCCTGATCAGGAGTCCACAGGGCCAAGCAATATCCAACATAATTGCGTCGAACCCTTCTAATCTAGACTCAAATTGTTTATCCGAAAGCAGTAATTCACAATCATCGGCCATGCGTTTCGAAACTAACTTCATCATTTCCATAAACTGCTTATCCTGGTCGACGAAAGCTAGACTATTCAAGGTTTTGAACATCTCGCGTACTTCATGGTCGGGTATAGGATGCTTGAAAACTTCGTAGGAAAAGTTGGAGAACTTCGGGTTCTTTGCTCGATGTTCGTAGTAAGCGCTACTTATCAAGAAAGTCACATTGTGACCGCGTGCAATTAACCTTTGACCGATGGCCGATGCTGCTAAGAAATGGCTACCCTCGCCGTAGACTGAAGACACGAAAATGTTAGCAGCTTCAACGTTGCAAGAGTTTGTATAACTTCCCACAATGAGAAGAAATATATAGACAAGAGACGCCATATCAACTTACTATCAATCCAACGTTTCGGGTCACGTACAATTACAATTCGATTCTTGTATATGCCGATATCCCATAGGTAAACAATTCGAGCGTTATGTAGTTCAAATCAAATAGATATAACCTCAACACTAAGAGACTGAAAGGCAAGTGCAAATGTGTGTACACAGTGACCTAACAAAACACGCTTAGTCGATGATTCCATAACAACAAAATATCAAGTTCTATACATTCAATTTTCAATCCATCTATTTTCCAGGTTAAAACAATGTGAACACACGGGATCAGACTGTAGTTGAGGTCGTTGACAGAATATAAGATAAAGGCTTCGATGGGAATATATATTCGTTTTTTTTAATATCATAGATCTTCGATTTCAACATTGACTCCGTGATTCCGTGAAAACTGTAATCGAAACATACAATGAAAGTGTCATAAGTACTTGTAACATACATTTCTGAGAAGATTTGATCTTCTAGTTTTGAACAGACCATAAACCCATGATTATGATAATCCCTTTAAAATATCAAGAAGTAATTATGCTTCATGTCACGATGCATTTACATTACATTCAAGTTGTATTGTTCAGTGTAATACAACGATAAAACAAATTATAAAATGGGTTCAAGAATGTAGCCAATGAGAAGCGTCAAAATGGATCACGTGACCATGCATTAGTTTTTACCATATGCACGGTTCCATATGCATGGGGTGCATTTTGGTGATAACAACCGTGGATAAAGGTTACGGGGAGACATATTATGGCCTTGCTAAGTAACAACAGTGGCGGATCCAGGGGGGGCGGGGGGCCCGGACCCCCCTCCCCCCAGGGAAAAAAACGTGCTTTTTACCTTTTCTGGGCGATGGGCCCCCCCCCCCCTCCCTGGCGCTCAAGGGGAAGGGGGGTGCAAATTTTTAAATTTTGGAGGGACAAAAAAAAAATGTGTTCACTACCCCCCTCAGCAAAGATTTCCCACAAAAAATATGTTTGAAGAGATATATTAATACATAATTTAGGTTTTCTGTTGTTCACGGAAAACCCTAAATGTTGTTATTCTGTCATCAATATTCGACTTTAAACACAGTTGTATTCGAAAATCCTTGCAGAAATGCGTTTCAAATAAATTCCTCTTTCACATAATGATACAATTTAGATCAAATTTTGCCATCAAATTTTTGGGGCTTCCAACTTTAGAGGGATTTTAAGCATCATACTTTGCAGTGAGGTGTGATGGTCTGAATATTTATTTGCGAGCGAGCGAGAAAAAAAAGAGGAAAAACAGAGGAAAAACAATCCTAACCATTAAAGACTGAAAAGGTCTTTAATAAGAAACACAATTATATTATCCTCAAAAGCTTTGGATGAAATTTTGTGGTGAAAGGAAAAGGGGGGTCATATCCAAAGTTAAAAGTACGTATTTGTCAAACCATATTCTTTCACATGATTGGTAATAAGAGCTTCCATTTCCTTTTATGAGAGAGGGCGTTTCCAAAACTACTCTTTACCTTCAAAGTAAAATGGGGACCTCTCAGAATTGAATAGTGGCAATTATCATCGGTGAAGGGGACATTTATCAGAACTTATCAGAATGTGGAACGGGCATAAAAAGGGGCACTTATCTAAAGTAAATCGGGGCACCTTTCCTAAGGGCCCCTACAATTGAAAAGTGGGGGCACTATACCCCCCCCCCTCCCACCGGATCCGCCGCCTGTGATGGTACATATGGTCTGAAATGACACCAAACAATGTATGTGCTCTTTGAGATTAATATGATATAACTTGATTAGACCATGCAGAGGACAAAATGATTGGCTGCTTAAAGGTAATACAAAGTTTTGGGAGATTCCGAAATTAGGTGGATAGTATTTCTTTACAATTTTGATATATTAAGATGGGCCTGTGGATGTATTATAAGCACTAAAAAATTCAGCCCCTAAAACTCTTCTGCTTTTGAGAAAAATTGAATACAAACATTTACCGGTGCTCCCGGTAAATTTTGATAAATTTCAAATAGCGCCTACGGTCGTACAATGGTGGCTGCGACCTTGAAAATCTCAGTATATGTTGTTGTGATATATAATTTCCAAACGAGAATAGCTAATCGGTCGATTTTAGACAAGAAACATTGTTTTATAGCTTAATTAATATATTGACCTAGAGGGAGCTATACAACATAAAGAGTTTATTATTTATAATTTCATAACTTTAGACTCGATTTCAACAGCGAAAACGATCACTGAATATATCGTAGGATCGCATATGCTTCCAATACGTTCATTTGAACCAAATTCATGTGCCCATACCAAAACTTTGTAATACCTATAACCTTATCCAGCATATGATTTACGAAACGTGTTATTTGTCACCAAATAATAGACTAAATTCAATTTATATCATCATGTAATCCTGTTTTTATATAGCGACTCCGACTTGTAGCTAATTACCCGACAGTGCACAGTCTACAGTCAATGCGTTTGCTAATTTCATGCATGCATACGTATACATGTGCACCGTATATGGTACATAGTCATTGCCTACATATATTACTGTGCAAAGTTCACTGAGCTAAGACCAAAATAAACTCCTTTCAAGTTATAACTATTAATGAATCAATATTTCAACTAACCTCTATGCCTCTATATTTGACCTTTAAGAAAACTTAAACCCATGATCCTCTGGATACAAGCATTGAAAATACGTAGCAGTCTCGTGTAGGCCTATATACGGGTTCGAAAATATAGCTAGCGCTCGTACATGATCACGTGATATCCGCCATCTTGGTAGTCCTTTGCTGTGTTCGCCACTTTACAAAGTACTATGCCGTTTTTGTATTGGCTTAGTATCAATATATTAACACATGAGAGATATAAGCTGAAGTTAATGATTTAACGGTAAGAAAGTTTCAAGCCAAGAAAGGAATCCCAACTAGCACATGTATTATGCGCCTGCAGGGGCGGATCCAGGAATTTCTTCCCGGGGGGGGGGGGGCACACGGGGGGTAAGTTATATCTTTTTTTTGGTCCCAAAAAATAATCGCAACGACTCAGCCAGCCGCTGAATAAGCGGGGGGGGGGGGGGGTGAGATGACATATATATATATATATATATATATATTTTGCTCCCTAAAATTTGAAAATCGCGCCGACCGCAAATTCGCTCAGTGGGGGGGGGGGGGTAGTGCGCACTATTTTTTTGGGGGGAGGGGCGGGGGAGGGGGCGCGGGGGCACGGATTGAAAAAAGGGAGAAAGTGTAGAGAGCGTAGTAGGAGAGACACTTGAGGAAATAGCAGAGCTATGGATAAAGAAATTGACATTATCATTTTTGTTACTGTTATCATTATTATTATTATTATTATTATTATTATTATTATTATTATTATTATTATTATTATTATTATTATCATCATCATCATCATCATCATCATCACCATTATTATTATTATTATTATTATTGTTATTATTATTGGTATTATTGTTATATCACAGTTGCTGATTTTCATCAGGTGTGGATTCAAGAGTAGGATATTAGGATACTTGTTACCGAGTGATCTTCATGACATAGCCTATAGGCTATCACGGAGATTGTATTGAAGGGCCGGGGGGGGGGGGAGGCGCTATGCCACTGGCCTATCGAGTTGGACGACATGGGGGGATCAAACGAGTAGATGAGGTTGTGGGAGGGGGGTGTAGTTTAATATTTGTTTTTATCTCTTTTTATCTCTCTTTCCGTAGCTATGCTAAAGTCTTTTTGGAAGAAAAAAAGCAATCGCCTTTTCCCCATATAATACGGGGTATAAATTACACATGTCGCAGTCATGGCAGTAACGACAGTAGTCGTAGTAGCCGTAGTAGCAATAGCAGTAACGGCAGTAGTCGTAGTAGACGTAGTAGCAATAGCAGTAACATTATTACAAGTAGTAGAAGAAGGAAGAAGAAGACGAAGAAGAAGACGAAGTAGTATAGCAGAAGTAGTATTACGAGTAGAAGTATAGTAGTATGAGTAGCAGTGATGTTACTGCATGGTAGCAATCACTTTTGTTTTCAAAGGTTTTTATCCTCTTTTCTCACTGAAAAAAAATTGAACATAATTTATAACATTGTATACAAAATAACAAAATAATCTTCACATAGGTCTAAATAAATTTGCAAGTGAACTTTTACATTTCCATATAAGGTTACAAATAATGTTACACATTTACAGATGGAAAATATTCACATAAACAAAATTACATTTTCACATTTTAAACAAATCGCAAATAAAGTTTGTACTATTTACTCGACCATTTTGCGTATAAATTTCAAATTTGTTTTCCACAATATTTTTTTTTTTTCTTAAATTTCTTCAGAGAAAAAAGAAGGGTTACGATAAAAAAAAAAAAGATAAAAAGATTTTAAAAATTAGTAGTCTAGTAGTAAAAGCTAGATACAGGCATAGAAACCTCCATCGAAAACGTATTATACGAACCTTGACAAGAGGAGCCGTAAGAGTCGCTGTGAGGCCACCTACAGGAATAACGTTGGGGGCTAAAGGATAGATGAAGTCTGATGCAAAATTAATGTTTGTCAGGTGAAGGTCAAAATCGGAATAGCCACGAACAAAATGCACTGGAGGAAGTCCCAGCCTTTTCCCTATTTTCAAATATGGAGGGGAGAAGGCAAGCTCTGCTAGAACATTTATAAATGCGGATATCAAAACATTCTGAAGTCTCTGTACGAAATTCATCCTGCTGGGAAGGCCTGTTGTGAACTCTGGTTGGTAGGCGTAGCTGAATGACGAACCCGACGCTCGGATAAAACCACTCCAAGATGGCGTGTGGGATATCGTGACCATGGAAACATAGTTTGAAGAGTTTCTGTCTCTTCTTAGAATCTCTCTGATCATGAGAACACAAGGCCAAGATATATCCAACACCATTGCGTCCATGATTTCTAATCTGGCCACAAATAGTTTATCGGAAATTAGGTATTCACAGTCATCAACCATACGCCCTGTCAACAACTTCATCATTTTTGCAAACTGTTGGTCCTTCTGGACGAATGCCAGAGTGTTCATGGTGTGGAACATCTCGCGCACTTCATCGTCGGGCACAGGATGCTTGAAAATCTCGTAGGAAAAGTTCGAAAACTGTGTATTCTTAGCACGATATTCGAAGTAAGCACTACTGATCAAGAAAGTCACATTATGACCTCTTTCGACTAAACTTTGTCCGATGGCTGACGCCGCTAAGAAATGGCTTCCCTCGCCGTAGAGCGCAGAAACAAAAACATTAGCAGCCAGAACGTTGCAAGAGTTTGGAAAAGTGGAAAAACTTCCCCAAACTAGTAGGAGAAACATACTGAGAAAAGACGCCATGCTAGCTAGGAATGTAACCTTGGTGTTACGTAAGCACATCAAATAGAGTTATCTCAAATGTTTGTGTGAACAATGAAAAAAAAATCTTTTGTACAAGATGAAGACTAACAAAGAATGTCCTTTGAGCGTTGTTCACAGCATAATAGTAAAATGTGGCACTTAAAGATAACCCTCGTGTAATCATGCTTTTGTAAATATGTTAAATCAGATACCCTAATTATATAAACCTATGAACCGGGACATACTTTTTAGTAGATACCCCACTTTATTGATTGATTTATATGATTGTATTCTCTGTTATAACTATTATCATGTACATTATGTTTTCTATATTGTATGTTTAGTTATAATATTATGTTCAATTATGTTATCTTTGATAAAGTGAAATAAATAAACTTGAAACTTGAAAATTGAATAGCTTTAGAAAGACACTAATAAATACACCCAAAAGAAGGTAATAGTAGACGTAAAGCACACTATAGTTTATTTACGCTTAGAAGTAGCCGATACATTGCAAAGAGGTCTCACTCTTGCTCAAAAAGTGTCAATCCAAGCAAGTTTCATCATTAGAAAATGTTATATTTTTCTACATGGGGAAAATCGATATTAATGTGCCAACATCGTTTTTACAATAGAAAAATCAGATGAGTAACAAGAATTGTTATATGTAGTTTTCTTTCCTATCATTACGTGAAATAGATATAATATATATATATATATATCTGATTTTGCAGAAATGTAATTCTTTTACATTTTATTTCTGTCCTTTACCTTCTCCCCCTCTCCCCCTCCCCCTCCCCCCCTCTCTCTCTATATATACATGTATATATATCTTTTTTGTATCTTGTAAATCCATGTTGTGGACTGAAATAGTTAGGAATATACATTTATCAAACAAGTAATATCTCTATTTTGCTCTATTTTCATCTTTCATTAACATTAATCACTTTTATCTTTACTCTTATTTGCAAATACAACTTTACGGCAGCATCTTAAACAAAATAACAACGTATAAGTAAAGATGGCCAAAAGTAGACAGGTTATTGAAAAGAGGAATGCCAAAACATCAATGCTGTGATAAACCACAAATGAAAGTTCACCGGCTGGCGACCTGAGGTATTCTCCGCCATATTTGATCACGTGATCTATCCAGAATGCTGCTCTTTCTCGAGCTGTCATTGGGTTGTTCCTGTTGACTGCCGAGACGTGTTTTGCGACTTGGGCATATCTGGATGAAGTAAAATGATAATTGAGTAAGTTGGTGGATTATGTATCTGTATTTAAAAGAAGGTTTTTGGTATGATTATGGTAATGAAACGCAGGCACATAACCACGGGGGCACGGGGGGGGGGGGGGGGCGTGCCCCCAAATATTTCCAAGATCGGTTGAACTTTTTTAGACCCCTCCCCAGGACGTCGATCGGTCATGTATGTGCCCCCCCCCCCCTTCCCCAACATCAAACTCTGGCTACGTCCCTGATGAAACGGGAAATGTTGCAAAGAATGGAAAGAATCAAATTCAAAGGTGGATTTGTACACGTATAATTTTATAATAATTAATCAATAATTAAATTTAAAAAATCAAACCTATTAACGAATAAAAGTTTCTGCGGTGAAGTACTTGAAATGGCAAGTTTTATAAGAGATATTTCTATTCACGGATGCCAGCAAACTTAGAGAGTATTAAAAGTATGAATATATACCTTCTGAAAGAAACAATACATATTCATATTTTGTGTACAAGAATATGAAGATCAAGACGTATGTACTACAACGTTATAGTCTTCTAGCCCCATGAGTCCCCCCCCCCCTCTTCCCTTGAGACTTGGTGTAAGAACTTTTATCAATATAACCTTACTTTGAATCATTAATGAGGTCGGTGAGTGTCTCGTATATGACGTCAGCGTTCATGGTGTTTTTATCGAGTTTTCGTCCCATCCCTCTTGCTACGACCCTGGCTGCTACATCATACTGGTCTCCATAGAGGGGAATAATGGCGATGGGAACTCCGTGATAACAGGCTTCTTGGAAACCGTTGTTGCCTCCCTGGTACATGAACACTCGGGTCTTGGGATGGCCTGTTTGAGGAAATTTGATGTCATTAATAATAATAATTATAATAGTAATAATATTTCTGCTTATATAGCGCTTAATACATCGACAATTTCCGAGTTTCTACGCGCTTTAAATATTACCCCGGTCATGGCTTGAATCATATACGTTGGGCATGGGTTATTTGATGATGCTTTTACTAGATTAAACGTTAAGGCGATTAAGTAAGGTTTTTTTTCTTCTTCTCCAGACCGACTTTTAAAAGAATTATTTTGCCGGAAGGTAGCATTTGGTGATGTCTGTTGGAACATAAGAACAACAGCACATGGGGTTTCGGAACATAGGCCTACTGTAGAAACGTCAGCATGTGAGAATATCGAAACAGAGGAAGTCAGGATGTTGGAACATAGGAGTGTTAATGGAACATATAGGATTCGAAGCATAGGAACAACAGCGCTCAGGGTGTCTGTACATAAAGATTTCACAACACAGGAACGTCGGACGTCGACAACCAAGGTGTCGGAATATAAGGATTTTGAAATGTAGGGACGTCAGCATCGGGTTGTCGAAATATCGGAATTGTCAGTAAATCAAGAAGTCAAAATAGGAACGACGGTATAATTTGACAGCGTCGAAACTTAGGAAAGTTAGAGTATATATGGGAATGTCGGATTAACACTTGACTTATTGAATGGCAAAATCCATGAGCCTTAAAAACTCTATAGTTTGCAGTACTCAAAGGTACTGGACTACATGCATTACAGGACAAATTCATTAATTCAACTAGCAACGGAATATCATCAAATAACGCTCTCTTAATATAGTAAGTAACAGTTTCTTTCTTTTAATTCATAGGGACATTAGTTTGGTGGTTTGACCATGCATAGTTCACACGTGACCTTATTCGCGGACAGCTCCATATCCATAAAAAAATTGGTAAGATTTTAAAAATCTGATATCACCAATAAAAAGAGGAACAAAAAATTACCCTCGTGACGAATTTTTTTTTGGAATTAGTCGTGATATTATGAAAATATTAAAAAAAGATCGGCAAGTTTGGCAGTCTTTTGCGTTCGCTCTGAAAAAAAATGAACTTACCGACAAGGGTCTTTAAATCTACATCTGGGGAGCATTTCACAAAACTTCTAATCAGTGACAAATGACAGTTTTTGTTATAAGCTACTGAAATCCTTGCTCCTGATTGGATATCAGCAGATTTTTCACTGATTTTTGTCACTTGTCCTTAAAAAAAGGCTTTGCGAAACGCCCCCTGGAGAGAATATGAATCAAAATTATCAAGAAAGGTTTTTAAAAATGATACCCACTGAATATATGATACAATGATTTAAAATTTATGCAATTGAATCACCATTGATGGATTGTTTTTTTGGGGTATAAATCACCTGTAAATTCTCGGCCGCGAGACATTTTAAGACATTTTCTTCAGTTGTGACTAATTCCGATCCGACATGGAATTTTGAGATTGCGATATCGCCGGAATTCTTTTGAAAACAAAATACCTAGTTGCACCCATTTTGTAGTTTTAAATTGGGACGTTTCTTTTTATGTTAATTGATCTAAAAAGATTTGTGTAGAACATGATAAAATATGGATCGAATATCACATTTCTATTTTTATTAAATTGTCCGCTAACTTTGGACACCCCATCATACTTACCAAGTAAATCGTTTTGTGGTACCCACGGAAATATCTTGATGTTTGGTGATAATTCCAAGCCTGACGGCGGATCCACCAACTGCCAAATTACCTTCTGTGGTAGCTTTCGGAAAGTGTTGGCAAACATTTCAACAAAGCCCGGTGTGAGTTTAGAAACAGCAGAGAAGTAGGTGCCTAGAGTAAAAAGGATGACACCATCTTCCCCCGAACTCTGCATGAAATCCTCCAAGTCCTTTACAGAAATATATAATATATGGGAATGGAATAACTCAGACATCGTTTTGATTCTAGGATATCTACCTTCGGTCTAGGAAAACTACCTGATACATGCTAAAGAACAACTACCCCCTGGAAATTTATCCCTGAGCAATAAAGCATTTCAAAAGAAATTGAAATTTTAAAAGCTTTAGGAAATAGGTAAAGGAATGTCGATGGATCCAGATTTAGTGCCACAATGTTGTGCTTATTTATTGGTAAATTTATTTCATCTTATAGATCTGCACATTATAAAAAACCCTGTCTGTTTGAGTTTAATTTCCATTCAACGCATTTAATTCATTTAAGAAATTTGTGCTCATGCATTAATAAATTGCTATTCTCATGTCATTTTAAGTGCTGACTCTTTCGAATGCTCTCTCTCTTTCTCTCTCTTTACAGTGCATGCCATGTGATAATCATTTATATACTTCTAAATCAATCCGTCTGTCTATAACATACAGAAAAATTAACAACAACAAATAGTTAATTAAAAAAGAAACCCAGCGAAATAATATGATAATTATGCTGAGAAGATTTTACTTCTTTTATCATTTTCAAACATAGATAATCTTTCTCAGCATATAATTATTATTTCATATGGTTTCTTTATTCAACATTGGTTGATATATTATTCTGTATGCTATAGACAGACGAATAGATTTTGAAGTAAGAATGTTTATCACATGGCATGCAGTGTAAAGAGAGCGAGAGAGAGAGAGAGCATAAGGGAGAGTCATCACTTGAAATGAGATGAATATAGCAATTTAGTAATGCATGATCACAGGTTTCTTGATGGATTCATCGACATAGTTTGACCTGTTTCCCGAAGCTTTCAAACAATCCATTTCTTTTGAAATAATTCATTGTTCATGAACAACTACCAACGTCCACGGGGTAATTGTGTCTCAATGTAAATTTGGTATTATGGATAGGGTGTTGTCGGTGGTTAATATAAGAGAGTAATTGTCATCGGGATAGTTGTCCAGGGTAGTCACCACGATGAAAAGTTTTTGTTAGCACAAACTGCATTAGTGCAAGACGGAGGTGAAATATCATTATGTATCACGTCATTTTTATGTAAATATCTCATTATTCTTATGGTAATCTTTACCTTAATAATGGATTGCGTATTTAAATTAACATCAGTCTCCTGTCTTGATTATGGCACTAAAACGATTTTAACGTTTTGATTATTCTTGTTTCTTTCCACATACGAATCACTGATTCATTTCGCACGACAAATACTAAATAGACCTTTTTGTGCCTTAATCTACATTAATCATTTACGCTTTTGTATTATTTTGGTGCATTATAGATGGGCGTGTAAAGCTTATACCTGGTCTAGTTGCTTGGCTGGTGAGGCAGTAAGTCCACCGACTGGGATGAAATTAGGAGCGAGAGGAAACGGAAACCCAGATGAAAAATCCATGCTTAACAGATTCAAATCGAATTTACCAGGCCAATTAAAGAAGTTCGCGATTTCAGGACTGAGTCCGACGTTCCTGGCGACCTCAGAGTAGTAAGGCATTGTGTATAAATTTCCAAGGGCAATGAACATTGCGCTTTGCAAGATGTTGGACGTCCTCTGGAAGAAAGTCATTCTGTTGGAGAATCCTGACATAAACTCTGGCTGGTAGGAAGGGTTGTAAGCAGATCCCATGATGTACAGGAACATTGCCTGTGGAGGGCACGGACTCACTGATACTGCTGTTATGTTCTTGGTACGATTCAGATTCTGTTCTATCATGTCCTTGATTATGATTCCACACGGCCAAGTGACGTCCAGGACAATGACGTCGATCCTCTCAAGGCGCTTCATCAAGGCACCATCTTTCAATATCGCTTCGCAGTCTCTCGCTAGGGTCATCATGAATCGTGTAATAGTGTCCATCAGCTGGCTCTGTAACCCCTGAAGTGCCAATGTGTTGAAATGAAAAAACAAATCTCTCACTTCTTTAAGGGACCGGTCGTGGTGTTCAAAGATCTCGAAAGAAAGGTTGCCGTATCTTGGATCGGTCGCACGGTGCTCGAAAGCTCTGCTGATGAGACATGTCACGTTGTGACCCTTTTCAACCAGTCCCTCCCCAATGGATGCACCCAGCATAAAATGGCTACCCTCCCCGTATAATGAGGATATCAATATATTGGAGGCAATAGCATTGGACATTATTCCAAAGAACAGTAGGCATACCCAACCCCACGTTGATGCTAAAATCGACACCATCCTTGACTAGTTCATTAAATTGAGTGGGATTGAATGATTATGCTGGTCATACCCATGCATGCATGCATGTCCAGTGTCTATACACACCGGTATAGCACATCGTCATTGTAAGAGTAGGAGCGTTTTAATCTCAATCACTGCATTGTATTGAGATCAAAGTCCATACTTTACCTCAACAAAATAATCTCAAGGTTTTTTTAGGCTTATCAAAATAATCCTGTCATTGTGAATGAATGGAGCCTGGTCAGCGTTTCAAGAAACCGTCGTATGTACAAGTTTACCGACATCCAATGTAAACGCAAAACTCGTTTCAATGGGATTTCTACCATTTGCAGGCCAAAAAATGAAAAGGTTAAATTCCAACGGCATTTGAAAGATAATACTAATTTAGAACTTTCCTAAAAAAAAGGGGGGCTTGAAAATGTCTTAAGTGGGAAAATAACGACTATTAGTTGTCGAATCGACTAGGCTACCAAGACAGTAGGTAATAGTCTGATTTTCATACCATTGTACCGAATTGTACCGAATGGTCGTACTTTTGTGCTGCGCAAAGATTCAATCAGTTTAATTTTGGCCATTACAAGAAGTGGGTTATTGATGTAGAAAAATGTTATTATACCCTTTATAGCTCGAATTATGTATGTTATTACCAAAGAAGAAAAAAAGCCAGTCAGTCACTCAATAGTGTCTGACAGTGAAGTCTAGCAAGTAAACGGGTTTCCTTGCATAATCTGAATATTAGGATACTGCTAACGTTTAAATTTCACAGATAGGACATCACATAATCATAATTCCTGCAAAGTTCTACAGAATTTGATGTTGGCTGCAAAAGGGACATAATGGTTCCCACCTAGCGGAGTTACATTGCCGAGTTGTTTTGAGTTGCCTCAAAGCAGCACTCGTACTCGCAAAAACTCGCGAAAAGCTCTTCTTGTTACTCGGGATAACTCGCGACAACTTGGCATGGCTCGGCGTACGCGTTAAATCTCTCCACGACTCTCCTCGAAGTCGCGAGCACTTCCAAATTTGTTGAACGTGTTCAAAATTGTCAATGGCATCCTTTAGCACACACACACACACACACCAAAAATGAGGGGGGGTTAACTTTAACCTCCACCCCCCCCCCCCCTCCCTGCGTACGCGCCCAGGGGCGGATCAAGGGGGGGGGGGGAGTAAAACAGTAAAACGGCGCGATTTTTGGAAAACAAATTGTTAACCCCCCCCCCCCCCCCCCTCTTGGCAAAAAGCTTGATCTGCCCCTGGCGCCTGTTCGCATTACGAGCTTAACGCGAGTTTAGATCGAGTAAGGGGACTTACGGCGAGTTTTGTATGAGCATGAGCAGAGTGCAGGGCGAGCATGACGAGCGCACCACGAGTACGTCAGCTTGCCTACGAAAACGAAGTGATTTTCCATTTTCCAGAAGTATTTCTCGGCTGAATGTATTTCCTGCTTTTCGATGTGAGGTCCAACGCGGGTTACCGGTTCATAAAAGATCCCATTTTCCTTTGCAATAAGTGTCCATTATCCATTCTCGTAATTGCCATTTTTAATTTCTAGTAAGTGTCCCTTTTCAAGTACGAGAAGTGCCCCTTTTCACTGTTGATATGTGTCTCTCGCCCCCCCCCCCCCCCCCCCCCCCGCCCCCCCCCCCCCCCCCACTCCGCCATTTGCTTCTCAAAATGCTCGTATTTCGGCCTTCTCAATTAACAACCATGATCTTGCCCAAAACTTCCTTTGCCATATTCTTGTCTCCTCCTGAACAATTCTTTTTTGGCGGCGCCTCCTTGACAACAGGGTCGCCCCGATTGTGCAAAAGATCAAGGCCTAGCTGGCATAGCGGTCTGCTTGTGGCATCCATCTTTTGGAGGGCGCCAAAATTATGCATTTCCCACCCCTTGATCGCAGATGCCTCATAGAAAACTCTTAAGAAGATCTTAATACTCGTTGGTAGATCGGTACAAGCCGTAAACAGGCCATCTTGCTCGCCGTTCAGTCGTAAATCCATCGTAGGAAATGTTGCGTCGTAGATCACTCATGCAAACATTTTTGTAAATTTTCAAGCAAGTTCAAGCAAGTTACGCACCATGCAGCTCGCCACAACTTGAGGCTCCAACTCGGCTAAGTGGGAACCTTGCTTCCAGGCGCGGATCGGCAGGATTTCTTGGGGGGGGGGGGGGGGACCCAAATTTGAAATCAATTTGAAATTTAGTGTGCTAAAATTTGAACATCGTGCCGGCCAATATTGCGCTCACTGGGGGGGGGGGGGGGGGGGGGGGGTAGGGAGCACTATTTTTATTTTTTTGCTCCCGAAAATTTGAAAATCGCGCCGGCCGATAGTTCGAAAAATGGGGGGGGGGGGGGGTCAGTGAGCGCTAATTTTGTTTTTTGGCCCTGAAAATTTGAAAAATCGCAACCCAGGGGGGACCTATGAAAAGTGATGCCCCATCATACATGGATTCTCCCGTCATTGCTGCTGAATATGGTGACTCCACTATGAACAACAAATTCTAAAGGATTTAGAGTAAATGGAAGTGGAGCTAATTAGCCCTGAAATTAAAACTAATATACTCAGTGGCGAATCTAGGGGGGGGTGCAATTTTTCAAATTTTCGAGAACCCCCCCCCCCCCCCCCCCCAAAAAAAAAAAAAAAAAAAAAAAAAAAAAAAAAAATTAGTGTTCACTAATAATAATTATTTTAGAACAAATCTGTTGAAAATTGTAATTTGTATTCTGTATAGAGTTTACCTACGACAAGGTCCACATATATCATTAGCATCTAGAGTATCGTGTTTTGCGATACTGATAATTTCTTAACCTCTCCCAGGATTTTGTAGACAGTGCCCCCTCCCATCGATGTACGCACCGCATCCATCCAAAGAGATCTCTTTAATCCGAGTATACGAGTCCATGCAGTGTTACAAAGCCTGATCAAAATCTTAACTGTGACCCACATTCTCAAGATGTTTTACAAGATAGAGTCTGTGGGATGTCGCTTCCTTCGTATCTGAAACACGTCACTTTCTTGTTTAAAAAAAAGCCAAGTGTAGCGAGCTACAAAACTTGTCCTATGTGACAAACCAAAATGTATCATATTCTACTCATAAATGAAAAAACATCGTCAATGTGGAAAAATTTTCCAAGACAGATTCATTCATGACGTCATCCAATTACATTCCCAGGATGCCATGCCTATCTCATGTCAATGAACATCATGGCGGAAGGCGGAGGTAGCGGAGTTCCTGATATCAAACAACAAAAACAGCAAATATCTGAACTTCTCGAAACCCCATTGAAGAAAGGGGACTCTTGGTAAGAGATATGGTCATTATTTGTTCCTTTTCTGTGATAAGACGTTCTTAAATCTTCCAGAATGGAATTATTATGTTGTATAAGATGCCGGCAATTATGTTGGTCGTACGGATCACCGTGTTATCACACGGTATAACGTACCGGCGGAAAGATCTACACTTTCAATATAGTAGGCCTCTACATTGTGCACTGTCATTCTTTTAATTACGATGCATACAACTGACTGCACTGCGCTGTAACTATACACAAGGTCCATACTATAGTATTAGCAGCCAATGATGTCCAGTGATGAATGTAGTGCATTGTATTCTTCGGATTGAGTTGAAAACATAGCAAGTTGAGACACTAGGATGCTCCTATTATTAACAGTAATCGGTAGAGCCAGAGGGACACATCATGGACCAAATTTTCTGTCACTTTCGTTCGTTAATTTTTTGGGTAGGGTCGGGTCTCTCAGAGACGGAAGCCGACTATACCGTATACGCATTCACTTTCAAACACCAAGGCCATTTATGGCCATATTTTTATGCCCCAAAAATTCCCCCAAATTTCATTTTACCTTGTGCATATCCAATTTATTTTATATTGTAAATTAGGCCGTGATCTAGGCTATAATACATCGATCCACGCCACAACTAGGCGTTGTGGCGTGCGCCTGTAATCCAGCTTACAGTGGTAGTTACAAACTGATTCAGCCGAGAACGCAGGTTCGAAACTGAGTCACGTCTTTCGGATGGTGACGTTAAAAGTCGGTCCCCAGACGTAAATAATCATATCTGATTGATACACGTCTGTAAAAACCCAAATACACACACACACACGCAGGTTCGAAACTGAGTCACGTCTTTCGGATGGTGACGTTTAAAGGTCGGTCCCAGACGTAAATAATCATATCTGATTGATACACGTCTGTAAAAACCCAATACACACACACACACACACTTACCAACTTGACTGAAATAATCCGTGTAATGGTCCCTTTATTAGGAAATTTATGGGTCAAAATTGACATCCATGTTGAAAATCTTGCAAGTCGTGTTTTAACTCTCGCTGCGCATGACGTAATCTAAATCTCATTCCTTCTAGTCTATGCCAAAGGCGAAATGATTATGAAGGAAAAGCTGGCCTAGGCTAGCCTAGGCATAATTTACAATATAAACTAAATTGGATATGCACGAGGTAAAATGAAATTTGGGGAAATTTTGGGGGCATAAAAATATGGCCATAAAGCCTTGGTGTTTGAAAGTGAATGCCTATAGTCGGCTTCCTTCTCTAAAGAGAGAGCCGACCCTACCCAAATAAGAGGCTTAACGAAAGAAAGAGACGGAAAATTTGGTCTAGGCACATCCCAGCTCGGCCAATGTGCATGTGGGAGAGTATTTCCTATTTGGGACTCGGATCAGAGACTCCTGTCTAATTTCAGATCAGACTCAGAATCAGAGTCAGAGGCCTCCCATTTCCTTGCTTTATTTACATTTGCTACAAAGGGATTACCATGGCTCAAAATTAAGATATGATAGGCAGATTCCTTGTGAGAAAGATTACACTAAAAAATAGTCAACAGACAAGATCTAGAATCTAGACAGACCACCGATGAATGATCTAGTTATGTGATTATGGTGATCTAGGCTAGTTTAAAAACGCACCATCTAGAGTCTACTATTGATTTCATAAAAGATTTTGTTATGATCCACGCTCAAAACCAATGGCAACGGGATCCTGACCTCATGCCTCAGATAGGCAGAAATTATATGGCTGGGGAAAACAGCTTTGTTGTTTGTGTTGTTCTTTTGTAAAAAGTCTTTCAAATGGAAGAGAGAAATGGGCCATGTGCCTCTGCTGAAAATCCACTTACAGCCTGCTTATAATATTAATAAGGGGAAAAGTTGGAAGACAAGACAAGAAACATAAGATGGAAGTCAAAGCATCTAAATATGTTGGTGACCCTAAAATTTGATTTGATGCTTACTCTTATCATTCTTGGTATTCTAAGGAGTAAGTGTGACAAAAAAAACCCTCATACTTGATACTTGATGAGGTAATCCCTGAAGCAGCTTTTCCAAGCTATACTGGGATGGGATGTGTTGTGACAGCAGGTGAAGGTGCAGACAACAAAAGGGTGTACAATTTCTTTATACAGTAAAACATTGACGTGCAAGTAAAAAAAAAAAAAAAAATCATCCTGCTATATGGTTTACAGCATTCTGGAACCTACAGGAGGTTCCAACCCTCTGATGACAGGGAGGGCGGTCATCTGGAAAGCAGCAACTTTTGGGGCAGTAAATGCAGTGGCTGGTAGTTGATTCCAGATGCGAATGGTGCGGGGGTAAAATGAGTACTTGTAGGAGTCATGGAATTGGATGTAGTATGCTTGCTTTAATGTCAGGGCTAATTAGCTCCACTCCCATTTACTCTAAATCTGTTAGAAATTAGTTCATAGTGGAGTCACCATATTCAGTAGCAATGACGGGAGAATCATGTATGATCATGCATCACTTTTCATAACAATAATCATCTACTTCAGTTATTAGTGCCCCCTTAAAAATGTACAACATATTTCCAATTCATGCATTTTTTGCACACAAGTCAATACATATTGACATATATTATAAAATAGGGTAAATCTTTAACCTCACTCTGCCATCTTAAAAATGTAAACATGAATTTCTTGTCTAGTTAAATTTCGATCATAACTCAACCATTATATTGCATAACTTTTCCCCTTACTGAAAGTTGTAAGAATGAATCCTTTGTAGTATCACTGTTCATCTTGGGTTTTTGTTTTGGTTGCAGGTACCTGGTAGACAGCAAGTGGTTCAAACAATGGAAGAAATTTGTGGGCTTTGACAGCTGGGATGTGTATAACATGGGCAATGATGCCTCCAACCCTGGACCAGTGGACAACTCAGGTCTCTTTGTGGGTAAGGAAAACATGGAGCATTCAAGAATGGAGTATTATGTTGGGAGGGTGAGAGTGTATCCTACTATCCATGCATACTCTTTTCTTGTGATGAGATGGAAATATGGTAGAGGGGAGTGCACCACGTCCAAAAACCCTTTGAACTCGTCAGTTTCCTCTTTCCTTATCACTAATATTTGTTTTAATTATTGTAAGGTTCAACAATTAAATTCTTGAATGATGGAAAGATTTGGAAAGGGTTTTTTTGTTCACTTAGAGTGGACAGAATCATTCCTTCAATGAGTAGATGGAGAAGTATAATAGTCCCCCTCCTCCCCTCTCCCTCCTCCCCAGTCCTCCAATCCTCAATGGAGCAAAAAGACTCTGAAAGTAAAAAGAGGTTATCAGTTTAACAATATCCGTCAGTGGGTTTTAGTTCTTAAATCACTGATCATACTCTAGTCATGCATGCATAAAATGACACTTTTGCATAGTCAGTGGAAAAACAATATAGTATGATAATTATTCGCAAAGATGAAGTATGAACTTGGATTGGAATGAATTTACTGTTTATGCCTCTGTCATGGAGGGTAGTGCCAGAGGCATTATTAAGTCATACTGTCATAACCTAACTCTCTTGCAAAGAGGGAGTGATTCTTTTATTATTTTTGATTATTGCATTGATAGATACATCATGGTCCCCATGACATTAATAGATGGGGTGAAAAACCATGAGGAAGATATTAGCTTTTGATTATGGTCTACAAACTGACAATAATGTATCTTAGTTTGAAACTATGTCACTCCTTTTGGATAGTGTCATCAAAGGTCAGATTACAGTCAAATAGTTGTATTTTCAACAATAACAAAACAAATTACACCCACGTATACACATTTTTCATCCTTTCTCCCCCAAAATTCATTACTCTCATGTCTTTCTGATTTTTCAGAGGGAGATGTGGGTAACTTGAAGGAGCATCTGATTGATGAGCTTGACTATGTTCTGGTCCCTACTGCAACCTGGGAGAATCTGACCATATGGTATGGTGCGGTCAAGAATCAGCCTCCAGTACATAGAAAGGTAAGGTCAAAGAACAAGACCTCAGGGCAGCGTCTCACAGAACCGCCATAAGTCCAAGATCATTGACATCCATTTGAAATTCATGGATGTTACAAGCTGATATTGTGGAACACAGACATATGACAAATTTGTGAGATAGTGTCCAGTGTAAATTTCCCCCAAAATTGTAAGTAATTATAAGAACAAATAAAAAAGAGAAGAATGAATACACAATTATGCTGTATCAAAGATGTTCCTTTGACAAAGAATATCAACAGCCTTTTCACTAAAGCTACCTATGGATCTATCCCAAGTTCTAAATTGTGACAAAAGTTTTTTTTTTTTTTTGAAAAAGTCTAAAATTTGGAGATAAGGCACCTTATGCTAATTTCATGTTTTCTTTGGTGCTATCAAAAAATCATTAAATACTATAAAGGAAAGATGATATGTTTTCATTTGTTCGACATCTTCATCATGAACTAGTACAATGTTTGCATCTGTCCATCTGTTTGTGTAGTTATGCATTACCTTTTTCATTTTCACTCATTTGTCATTTATTTTGCAGGTTGTGGAATATGGTATGTTTGTCAAACACTGCAAAGTAGAGGTGTATCTGATGGAGCTCAAGTTGTGTGAAAATAGCAATCTAGACAACATGGTGCCTCAGAAGTTTAGCAAAGCTGACACAATAGGTAAGTTGTGTGTTCTTAATGTCTTATTTTCAGTTTGTTTCATGCAAAACAACTTACAGTAGTTAATTTCTTCACCTGAATAAAATATGTTATAAATAGTGAAAATTATAAGCCAATCTGTTCCTATTATGTACCTTCAGTTTTTAAGTCTCTTTTTGACTATATGAAGTCACCAAGAATATAACAAGAACAAATGGCAAAGAAGAACAATTGATGCAATAAATGCCTCATCCATATGACATAGGATGATAATTTGGTATCTAAAAATCCCCAATATAATCATTATAAGACGAGTTTTCATTTCCAGTGATGTACTTTGAATTTCAGATTTGCTATGAATCTAATAAATGCATAAAAGGCAATCCGTTAATGTTTGCAAATTTTCACATTACAATCATGAAACAATAGGACTTCGAAATTACTCAAGAAAAAGAAATCCTGCTTATAAAAATATGAAAATCCTAGTTGCTTAGGACATGATGATATAGAAACAAGTTCCAGGATATGGAGATGAATTGAAAACTTTGCTGGGATTGCTGAAGCTTCCATATTTAGGGGTGAAATTGTGATCTGTCAAATGAAGTATTTTTATTTTAAAAGATGATCTCGCATTTACTGCATTTAAACATGACAAACATTAGACATACTCTAATATTTTGTCTTGGGATTTGGCGGGTTCGTCTATTTGTAATGTACCTTTTAGTTGAAATGCATTACCTCTGGTAATGACATTTTCAAAGAACAATGTTTGCAACTAACACAGTCCAATACCGCAGCATTGAGTTCAAATACATAGAGATTACTCTCTTCTGCATTGTCATCTTGAGAGGTGATAGCCTGGTCCCAGTATATGAGTTTAAATGCATTGTCGTTAGCATTGAAATGTGCAAAGATTAACGTTTACAACTGATAAAATACTGTTCATATAGCATACTGCCATAGCAGTCAGTGTCTTGATATACATAGAGAGAACCGTCTTTCACGTCATCACCTTTGACATTTGAGGTGATGGTCTGAATATGTAGGGAATGTCATCACTGAGTGTGAGACAGACCCTCCTCCAACCAAGAGCTCCTCAGAGAGCTCATTACACAAAGAGGTTGAGTCAACTCAAGCAAGAGTAAGGGTTAAAGATAAATTTTAGTACTGGTTATGTGATGATATTATGAACTAAAATTGCCCAGAAGCAATGAGAAAACTTTGATTACATAACACATAGGATTGGGGTACATACTTGTGAGGGTTTTTTAATCATCAAATTCACAAGAAAGTCTCAGTCTTGTATGAAGTCACATGTACTCCAAATAGAAATGGGTATGTGGCACTACAAACACATGTACGTAACATGTATGTTTTGTTCAAACTTTTTAGATATTTCTCGTCATATTTCAAATATGAGGGCATTTGAAGAGTACTCAGGGTTATATAAGATATTTTGTAGACTTACATGTACCTATAAAAAAAAAGGAAAAAGTGCACGATTCATGTTGATACTTTTAGCAGAACTGAACCTTCTCTTTAAGAGCAGATTGGTGCTGTGTATATGAATGGGGATAATGGGAACATGATCCTGCAGATATGTTAATAAACATTAGCAATTGATGAAGTCATATGTCATATGGTAGATCATGTGACCAACCATTGGAAGACGCATTGTATGAACATCAACCTTTCTCTGAATGTTCCTTGCTGTAGTGTTATGTTATAAGCACGATGGAAGATTTTAATAAGATTTGAAAAGGCCACTTCATACTGTGTATATGCATGTTGGTGTTTCTTCGATGTTAAATACAATTCAAACTAAATGGCTTCCACTATCAGTGTATGCATTGTAGAATAGAAGAACATTGTCATGATTTTTGTCTCGCCTGCGTAGCAAAAAAGCGAGACATAGGCGCCGCTTTTCTGGTGACGGCGGCGACGTCAATATCAAAAACTTAACCTAAGGTTAAGTTTTTGAATTTTTGATATTATTTTTAAAGTATAAGTTCTTAGTCAATGAAACTTTAACTGTAGGGTTATCAAGTATCCCCAATCATGTGAGTTGCATCTCAGGTCACAAAGTCAAGGTCAAAGGTCATTTCAGGTCAACAGACTTGGACTATGTTGTGGCATCATCGAAAACTTAACCTAAGGTTAAGTTTTTGAATTTTTTGATATAATTTTGAATGTTTAAGTTCTTAGTCAATGAAACTTGGACTATAGGGTTATCAAGTATTTCAGGTCACTAAGTTAAGGTCAAAGGTCATTTTAGGTCAACAAATTTAGACTTTGTTGTGGCATCAACATCAAGATTTTGAATTTTTTAGCATATTTTCAAAATTGATTGTTCAAATTCCATGAAACTTGTACCCAAGGGTTATCAAGTATCACAAATCATAGGACACAAATTCCAGGTCACAAGGTCAAAGGTCATTTTAGGTCAGTAGACTTGGATTATGTTTTCACAACTTAATATGAGAATAAATTAATCAATTTTTGTTATTTGTTAATGATTCTTAGTCAATATTCACTTCAAAATGCTGATTATATTCAGAGGATTTCATTTTTGGGGGGCCAGCTAATGGGCCACACTGCCTATAAATAATGTTCCAACCTCAATTTTTTATCATATCGAATTGCGTAATGCAGGCGAGACCGCCGAGAGCGTTTCCCTTGTTTTAATTTTAACTAGAAATATATGGAGTGATGTATACATGAAACCTTCACTAACACAACAAACATCCATTCAGTGGGATCATTAAAAGTTATCAGAACTTATCAAGATTTTGTTTTGTTTTAATGTAAACTTCATTATGATATTGTAGTTTTATTGTACTTTATTTCTTTTTTTTTTGGTATGGGGATTCATTCAAGTAATATTAAATAGTTCTCATGAGAATTCAAAGGGGTTTTGTTTTTCATTGACCCTTGTATGTGATGTTGCTGGAATTGTTATACTTTTTTTTATTCTGTCTAGACTCTAGAAGATATTTTTTTTTTATAATGGCTTTAATAATGTCAGTTACATGACTTATCATATGACTGATTGTTTGACTGATTTTTCTGCTTTTTGTTCTCAGAAACTATTGAGAAGGAAATGAAGAGGTTATTCAATATTGAAGATGAAAAAGAGACGAGAATATGGAATAAGTACATGAGCAATACCTATGAACAGCTAAGCAAGAAAGAAAACACTGTTCAAGATGCAGGCTTATATCAGGGGCAGGTATGTATCTACTTTCATTATGGATCGAAATTGGTATAATTCGAATTTAGGGAATCTTAGCTAGTTTAATGGGAACATCTACAATATATTAAAAATGTCTAATTTTATTGCACTGTTTCAGAATTTTGTTTTATGAATACATTTGTCAAAACTACTCTATAAATACAATTTTGTAATTAAGCATAAAGATAAGAAAGCAAATGAAATAGTAACCCATTGCCTACGGGAACCTGGCAGCTCCTATATCAAGCTTAGGGGAATGACAGTATTCAGTCTTGAATTACAAATCTTAAAATGTGCTTTTCATTCTCTGCATTCTCTTTTACACATAGGTCCTTGTGATAGAACAGAAGAACCAAGATGGCACATGGCCAAGGCAGCCAGCTAGCAATAACAGCTCTACCAATAGTTCTTACAAAGATAGCTCTAGTAGTACATCCACAAACAGTAGCAGATACATCACAAACTCCTCTGGTAAAAGGTGAGAAGAGTCTCTGCTTTAGCTCCTTTCAGGGTAGATGTTTCTCCTTTAAACCCGCCTTGACAAAGCTGAGTTGTTGGTCTGAAGAGTAGATTTGGTTGATTTATAATGTAATGACGTGTTATAGGCAGGCAGAGAGGTGTTGGTAACCTTATTATGGCAACATTATCAATCATACCATGCCAATAAAGCTTATCTTACTTTGAAACTAGTTCGGGCAGTAAAGCACTGGCTATACTAGGCAAAAACTCAAGAGACACCACTCAATTGTACTCATATCAAATAGTAGATCATTCCAGGATTCATGAGTTTTGTTTTGTTGGAGGGGTTTGAAGGAAATTGATATTTAGATTCAAATCATTGGATCAGACATTTATTTGGACAGGAAGAGGTCGATTTGAGGAATAATCACAAATCAAATTTGAAATTTAAGTTAGATGTTTTACTAACTCGTATCAACTGCTACCTCAGACAAATCAGAGTCAAAAATCATTCTGAGGTCAAGGTAACACGATGAACAAGATAATTCTCATTTATTGATAGTCCCTACAGCTACTCTTCGTACAACAACACCAGCAGTTCTGATTACAGTCGCTCCAAGCCGTCTGTCCAGGAAGGTCTATGTGGTCTGGGTAACCTAGGCAATACCTGCTTCATGAACTCTGCCCTGCAGTGTATGAACAACGTCCCTCCTCTCACTAGATACTTCCTCTGTAAGTACAACACTTGGGTTTAGACTTCCCGTACCAGGGTTGGTCATCCTATTGGGGAATGGAATGGGAGAGAACATGTATTTGTTTTAGTGTTGCTGCAAGTTTTGAAATAATGATAAGTGTTGAGTAATTTAACCAGGATTTCATACTGCAACATGCACAAATCTTATAATGGTAAGCAGGAATGGGGTCTCTACCTTTCCTGACGTAATGTCACCACAGTCAGCCCTGTCCCTAATGAATACAAAATGAATCAAATAATATTCTTGACTCCCACACTGCTGTGGAACAGGAGACCTGATTTAGGTGCTTCACAGGTCCTTTGGTCAGATCGGATGATACCATTAAAAAAATCTAGCAAGAATAAAGGATATTATCTATTGTGCTGTTTCTTTAATACATAAGTTTGCTTTTTCATTTGAATTGACTGCAAGACCTCCTTATCGCTGCAAGATATTCAGACATATTTGAATTTTAAACTTGTTTTCATTAGACATTGCTTAACCTCAATGTCAATTCCAGTTAATCTTTTCTTCTCTTCGTTTCTTCCTTGATGCTTTTTAACACCTGCAGCTGATGAGTTCAAAAAAGAACTGAATTACAACAATCCCCTTGGCATGCATGGAGAGATAGCTAAAGCCTATGCAGATCTCGTCCAACATGTGTGGTCCGGTCAAAACTCTTACCTGATACCTAGAAACTTCAAGGTAATGGTCTGACATAGCTACTCTTAACCTTTGACCAACTGCATTTTGGCAAGTCCAAGGCCTTGTTGTCCCGTACATTCCAAAAAAGAAAGAAAATAGACATAATATCTATCGTAAGTGTCATTTTAAATACCTTTCTATTTTGTGTGACCCAAGCTCTAGTAGGACTGTCAGCTTGATGGAGTAATCAAGTAGACTTTGAGGTTGTTAGTAGACTACTACATATTACCCTGGAGTTGTCAATATTGTTTTTGTTAATTCTTTAGAATTGTCTAAGTCGTAAATGATAAACATGATATATCTGTCAAAGTTTGGTTGTCTGAGTTAAAATTCTTAACATGCTTTCTAATTTCTATTCATTGTTTGTTCATTCATTGCGGGACTGTCTTTAGATGCAAGTTGGTAGATTTGCACCTCAGTTCTCTGGTTACCAGCAGCACGACTCTCAAGAACTACTAGCTTTCCTCTGTGATGGTCTACATGAAGACCTCAATAGAATACAGAAGAAACCCTACGTTGAGCTTCGAGACAGCGACGGAAGGTCAGATGAAGTAAGACGCTCTCAACATCTTGAAAATTTGTAGAATATGACTGTTCAGAGAGAAATTTTGCCATATAGTTCTTTTGTTTGATTAATAATTTGTTTAATTAACGGTTTGTAATTGCTTCTAAACATCTGTTTCATAAAAAAAATTAAAACTACAAAAAAGTAATGCATCATACAAATGAAAATAATAGATTGATAGTGAGCATGTGGAACAAATCCTTCAAAAGCATTCCATAGTGCTCATGATTAACTGTCTTGTGGTTTTGTCACCAAAATGCAATATTATCTCTGCTCCAATTTCTTTTCTACCAAAGTGTATTATTGTATTTGAAGTTCAACTGATTGTTCTTTTATTCAGGTTGTAGCGGATGAGGCCTGGTCGAACCATTTAAAACGAAATGACTCCATAATTGTTGACTTCTTCCATGGCCAATTCAAGTCCACTCTAGTTTGTCCTGAGTGTCAAAAGGTATCTGTGACCTTTGACCCATTCAGTTTCCTAAGTTTACCCCTCCCTACGAAGAAGGAGAGAACGATGGAGGTGTTTCTCATCAGACTAGATCCTAAGTCCAAACCGCTCCAGGTGAGTGCAAATGTTTATTAAGTTTCTGTGATGATGATGATTAGGACTAAAAAGGTACATCATATTCTTGGCATCATTCAAGTATGAATATTTCTTAAAAATAACTAACAATTGAAAACTATCAGAAATTCTTGATGTTCAATATTTTCTGTGATATTTTGTAATCTGCACAAAAGTGAAATAAGCTGATTCCTTGACAAATCATGTTCTTTACCATTCCAGATAAAAGGAATGAATTGTTAAGGTTTCTACTACAATAATGTCTCTTTGTAATTGTCACTTTTTAATAGCACATTTCTTCTCTCTCTCTCTCTCTCTTTTTCTGTCTCTTCCACAGATGAAAGTGGTTGTACCCAAGCATGGTATGGTGTATGACTTATGTAAAGCAATATCCAAAGTCTCTCAAATCGCTCCAGACAAGGTAAGAAAGTCACCACCTGAAATATTTGTCCATCTACATTTCAATTAAACAAACTGCCAATGATGAGTAGCAATTTAGTAAAATATATCCTAATAATAAAAAGTATTTATCTTTTTGTTTCGACTGTTTGAGATATATTTATTTATTAACTCATTTTTTTATTTATTACAATTGATAAAACAGTGGAGGGTAGTCCAATTCAGTTAAACTTATTGTTCATTTCTGAGATGATTTCATTTTGATTAAGTGCATATTTAAAAGGAGGTAAATGCTCATACTCCAGTTACACCACCAAGTCTACTTCAAAATGACTGAAAACCTACAAATTCTTGGTCATTCTGGTTAATGTAAGTCTTTTGTGCAGCTACATTGGTGGTCTGATGGTAGATGTGATTGGGGCTCTTGTTTAGTAAAGCTAAGTCTACAACTGGTTTTATCTACCCAGTTTCTGATAACGTCATGGACATTGGTGATAAAAGAAATATAGCTCCTGCATCACCTTGAAAGGTATAATAGACTGATTTATGTTTGTTGCTTTATTTGACTTAATTTGATTTCCAATGTCCCACTAGATGGCAGTGACAGATGTGTACAATCACAGATTCCACAAAGTGTTTGCACCTAATGATAGAGTGGAAAGCATCACAGAAAGAGATGACATCTTTGTGTAAGTTGTGCCTTTAGTTTGGACAATTCAAAAACAATATTTTGAAAGTGAAACCAGTGATAAATTGCACTTATTCATCTTGAGGATTGGCTTGTCACATACATTAAATCCTGTGTTGATAAGAAATGCAGTATTGTTCTAAAGCAAAAGAAGTGATATTGTCTGTTTGTTATCTTCTCGATTGCCTCCAGGATAAGACTTTCATTTTGTAATTAAATAAATATATATAATTCCTTAATTTGTTGTCTGAGGATATTTTTCCCTGATGGTGAGAAAGCAAAATTACAGGAAAGCAATCGCTGTATATCCCCGGAAATTGACATAAAATGCATCACTCAAAGGCGCTTGTGCCCATCTGTAATGTCTCAATATCATAGCCCTTTTCAAACCTTTTTATCCTGTTCCAAAACCATTTACATGAATACTATCGTCCGATGCAAAGCATTTGAAAAATTTCCAATATATGGAATTTTATAATTTTCCATTGAAAATATTTCTACAAAAATCAAATTTTTAGAATTAATCAATTGGTGATTGTTTTCATTGACAGCTATGAGGTACCAGTGAACAGTGCGGATGATCCAGATACAATCATCATACCTGTCTATCTCAGGGAAAGAAAGTAAGAAATCTCAATTAATTATTGATTACATATGATTATCAAGAGTATGTTAGAGACCCATGTGAATGTGTTGTCATTGAAAACAATTTGACCTATCCTAAATAATGTTGATAATGTTAACAACCCTACAGGCTAATTATACCATCCAGGTTCGATGTTGAATGTAGAACTTTAGAACAAACAAACCATTATGCATTAAATTCAAAAAAGTTTTATATTATTGGAGCTATGTTTGGATCTATATGAAGAATGAAATGACATTATGATTGTAAAGCTGTTTGCTCTGTAAATCTTAAGCATATGCTTTTTGTGGTCCGTTCTTGTTTGTGCATAGTTCAAAGAGAGCAAGCTTCAGCTATTCCTCAAGCAGCTACTCATTGTTCGGTCAACCCATGCTGATTGCAGTACCTCGTAAACAAACCACCTACCAAGATCTCTATGAAATCATCATGAAGAAAATGAGGTAAGTATCAACCAGGCCTGAAAGTTTGGTATAGGTCCTTGAGAAGGTGAAATCATTTACTTTGTTGGATGCTTCACAAACATTTGCTATGAATTTGTTTGAAATTGATATACATGCAGACTTGAATCCCATGTATGAAACATAGTGTGATATCACAGCTTATTCTCATGTTTGTTTTTTCAGTCGCTATGTTAGGAGACCAGACACGGAGGACTGGTATAAAGACGATCAAGAAGGCAACGAGGTGGTGGAAAATGGAGGTAAGTTAGAATGACATTTTACAAATATGTATCATCAACTTGTCAACACTGTTGGTTTGTGATAGAAAATTGTTAATGGATTTTGGTGTTATAGAGTATGATTGGTTAATAGATGGGTTGGATTTATTAAATGTATACAAGAAAAAGCAGAAAAGAGACTAAATCTGTAATCGTCACATTAATAACCAAGATAAATCTGTTTATTTCCGAAGTGAATTGCCTTCACATTTTAATTAAGAAAAATAATTTCTTTTCTTGGTCTGTTTTGTCTGTCTTTCTGTCCATCACTCTACTCACTCACTCACTATGACCCTCTCTGTTTGTGTCACAGAAACAGAGATGGACTCTGACTCTGATTCCAAGGAGCATTGCAGCTCAGGTGAAGACACCACCCAGAACCACAAAGAGGATCCTCCTACTCCTCCATCCAAAGAGAAGAAGACAAAATCCAAGCCATTAGATCGGCGATCCCTTCTCTTTAGAATGTCTCTAGTCAACTCTTATGGCAGTGCAGAGTTAGCCAGGTTAAAAGATGATGGTGCACCACTCAGGTTCAACAGTAAGTGACCCAACCTTGACCTCATCTTGACCTGTTCTGTATGGATCAAATCCTGCTCAAGGATGTAAATAGTGAAGTCTGTGTATGGACAAAGAAAGATGTGCTGTCTTCCTCTGAGAAGAATGGATACATGCTTGTTTTCTTATTTTCTTTTGTCATAGAAGATATTTCATGCCTAATTGAACAGTGAATCAAAGAATGATAAATATTGTCTTGACTCCAAAAATATAATTTTTCAGTTTTTCCAAATGTCACAAAAAAGGGTAGTAATTTATTGTGTATGGTGAGTTGGTAAACAAAAGATATTCTGTTAACAGAACATATTGTGGTTCCAAATTTTGATTGGTTTCCAATCTTTGTCATTGTAAATTTTGTTTTTCCTGTAACCTTTCCTCACATTGGCATCTTTTCTATTCACTTTCTTTCCAGATCGTACATACATAGCACTAGACTGGAAGGATAAGGCAAAAGAAAAGTTCTACATTGAAACAGAAGCAGAAGTAAGTCAACAAGAAGACTAATTCCCACATATGAAAATACATTTCCTATATTTATATAGGGACATGAGCACTTAATATCACTCTGGTATAAATTGTATAAATAGTGTACAGCTGATAATAATAATTATAAAAATGGTGCTTATAAAGTGCTTACCACTGAAGTCTCTAAGCACTAGATCAGATGAACATATTGATATGCATTGGCTGATTCCTCACCTAACATAGCAATCTGATTCCATTCAAACATTCATTCTTGCCTTTAAATCACAAAATTTCCCAAACTTTTTGGCATCAGTATGTGGTTAAATCAAGCTCATGGTCACAATATGGTCGCAATATTTTGCTAGATTAATTTTTTTGTTTCTGCCATTTAATTTGTCTACCTTAATTGTTACTAGATTAACCACTAGTTTGAAAAATATGAAATCAAATTGATATAACATATATTTCTGATGAAATGATATTCATATTACGATTTCTTTAATAAAAATCACTATATTTAAGAAAGCACTGTAACATGACTGTTACCATGTCCATATGTTTCTTATTGTACATAAGTAGACTGGACTAGAGGCAAGGCTCTGTCTTCTGTATTTAATCATTGAGCTTAATTGTGTTTTGTTATAGGACTCTGAGCCTCATGAAAGCATGAATCTTCGGAGTGTGTCAAGAAAGCAACAAGTAGATCTCAATGAGTGTCTTAACCTCTTCCTAACAGAAGAAACACTGGAGAAGGAAGATTCCTGGTGAGTCAATATAAATACAAACAATCTTAAAAGTGACATGATATGACTATTTCATGTGGTCAAAACTGTTCTATTCAAGAAATATCCATGTTGAATTGAATTATTACTTTTTAGGAATATAATAGTTGTTTTTCCTCACAAAAAATAAAGAATTTGTTTGATATAGCACTCGTAATCCTCATTGTTGAAGAAAAGGGAGTTTGAGTGAAAAGTGGTGGATTTGTAGACCTTCTCATTAATCCAAGCACACAAGGTCATTAAAATTAGTAGACACAAGATTAAATGCAGAGTCTCCCTGTTTGTGTAGTAGATGATATTGGTATCGTACATTGGAATGTCCCCTGATGATTTTACAGACAAGTAAAAATGATTGAACATGCAATATCCATTTTGGACAGATACAAATGGCTTGGTCAGAGAAGTATGGTGAAGTACAGTGAATGGTAAAGAAATGTATGTCAGGTTGTGTGCCCTGCCATAGACCGATCAAATGCTTAGATTCTCTCAATACATGTGTGTTTTATGATTTTTGCCACCCCCCCCCCCCCCCCAAAAAAAAAGAGTCATTATTTGTCTTCAAAGTCTGCATCAGTATCATCAGTATCTTTACTGAGAGGGATCTGGTAGAGTCCAATGGTGTGGCTCTCTCATTTTCTTGACATTTGGAAACGGTAGTGTGATGAGCCAAAATGGTGACGAGTGTCTTTATTAAAATCTTCTCTCATTCCATTTTCTGAATCTTGTCCTGCAGGTACTGTCCAGCTTGCAAGAAGCACCAGGAGGCTACCAAGAAGTTTGATCTCTGGAAACTACCCAAAGTGCTTATCATTCACCTCAAGAGGTTCTCTTACAATCGCTTCTTGAGGGATAAGCTTGATACATTAGTTACTTTCCCTACAGAGTAAGTTTCACACTACCATCACTTTGTATGTATAGAGAAATTCGTTTTCATGTGCCAATCGAAATCTTTCCCGAGCTCATAATTAAATTGTGTGTCCCTTTTTCATCTTGCATGTGAACAAATGAGTGAATATTAAATTTGTGTTTCTTTAAAGGTAGTTCCTAGCAATTTGTCAATTATTATATACTTAATCCAGAGATTGTGAATATTCTGACAGAAATTTCTCCCAAATGCAGATGTTCCAAAGTAGTGTTTTGTTTACCCTCATACTCCTATCCAAACTCGGAGACCGATGTACATGTGTGTCTTTTCCTTCTGATATTTACCAAGAATATGCATTACCTGTGAAGTAATATGTTGATCCGTATTATTGCTTGCAGCCTAACCAATGCTCAAGGATTGTTTTCATTTGCAACTAGATTGTATGAATGATGTAAATGACATACTTTTGTTTTCTTACCTTATTGTTTGCAGGAATCTGGACATGTCCAGTAGTGTAATATGTCCGAATGGCGGCCCCTATCAGTACGATCTTGTAGCTGTCAGTAATCACTACGGTGGAATGGGTGGAGGACACTGTGAGTCAATAATCTCTTGATTAAGTTAACTCGAGCTGTTTATGTGCAGTACAATCAAGTCTTATGCGATGTGTATGTCAAATCAAGCTTTTTATGTGCAGCACAATCAAATCTTTGGTAAGGGTATGTTTGCTGGCAGGAAAAATGTGTTAACAGTAGGATCATTACCTGTGCTTAGTGAGTGGTAGAAGAAGGCCACATTCTGTCAGGAAACAAAGACAAAAACAAATCAACTCTGAAGATGGTGATGGAAAACGAACAAAACAAACAAGACAAGTTTGGAAGTGACTGTAATTAGTACCTACTTCAGCATTCTTTAAATCATGATTATTTTTTACGTACCATTCATTTTGTGAATTATTCTTCTGTGTTCCTTACCACTTCACAGACACTGCATATGCACAGAATGCATGCACACAAAACTGGTACTACTTTGATGATAGCTCTGTTTCAGACGCTAGCAAGGAGCAAGTGGTTGTAAGTATAACATAACACTTGAAGAGTTTAACGTTTTTCTACCGAGACTCAATGCTGTATCATATGCGATTCTACGTCCTTTTAACATGAAACGTGTCACTTCAAGCCTTCGTCAGGAGTTTCTCAAAATTGATGTAATGTAGAAGGTTATAACATATTTACTTCCTGGGAGTTTATTTAGGATTTTCTGTTTCAGATCTTTTGGGTGGATATCTAGACAATGAAATCATGCATAATGCATTCAAATGGAAATAAGGATTAAGGGAATTCCTTTGCCATATTATGGTAAAGTACGTTTGAATAACATTCTGCGTGTTAGTTGAGAATGAGTTCCAGAGGAAAGTGAATATATGGGCAAAAAGCCAAAAGGCATTAATATGTACTTTTGTAAACATAACACTCTAAATATACTCCACTGTTTTGTCTTGGTTAACACAGTCTAAAGCTGCCTACGTACTCTTCTACCTTCGGAAAGATAGAGTGGAGGAATACAAGCAGTCGCTATCACAGGTCATTGCAAGACGAGGAGAGGAGACCACAGAAAACGGAGAAGCAGAGGAGGAGGAGCATATTGCCACGGAAACAAGCGACCGGAAGCTGCGTAGTCACACAGGAGCAAGGAGTAAACGGCACAGCAATGGACTTTCAGATAGTGAAGAGGAGATGGAAACAAATTGATGCAGACTGACTAGAGCTTAGTTCGTACCTGTAGTGGGACAGACAGACGGTGTGCGTTGTATCGTTTATGCGTTGCTATTTGCCTGTGCTATAACTATTGGATACCTGCAAAGAATGGGGAAGCCTCTTGATGTACTATTGACCGAAACACCGTCCATTTGCATGTCTGTAGGATAGAACATAATCTGTTGGAAGGCTTGTCTGTCTGCACTATGCCTTCCAGCTTCCTGGTATTACCCAGCAGTAGTCGGATGTGCCTTGTATAAGGTCAGTCTGACTTATCTCAGCCTGCCCAGTACAGATGATATCAGCTCAGAATAAAAGTGCTATCACACAGTTCTTGTAGGTGAAGTTGCAGGGTAGAAAGTAGTCTAATGATCTTGGAAGTTGTGTTGACTAGCTAGCAATTAGAAAATGCTAATGACCAGTCAGTAGCACTTTTAGATAACTAGTTACGTGGTAAGAACACTATTTGCCTGTATGCTCTCAAACAACCATTTGATACAGATCTATTTCATATTTTTATTATTGTATTTATTGATTTTAAACTATCAACACATAGATATTAAATGGATAAGAAGGATTAGTATTTGCTTGCTTTTTAAAAAGAAAGTCAGAGCTTTGCTTTCGAATGTCTGCTTCCTGCTTCTCTGGTTGTGGGAAGACCAAAGGATATGAAATTATTTGTATTTGTATAAAGTTCTTCTTTTCCTGACCGTACTATTTAAGTATCCCTTTCGCCAGAAGAGAGAGTAGACTAGCCTCCTCACAACCATGCATCACAGAACAAAGGAAGAATAGAATTATGCATCATTATCAACATCTTCTCAGTATTTAATTTGATCTACATGTAGGATGCCCTTTAATGAAAATAATTGAGTGCTGAAATATCCTAAAGTTCCTCCTGTAGTGGGATTGGCTGCAGGTTCATATATGATTTAACAAAAGTCCTCTTCATACCATATGCAGAAAAATGAACTTTGTATGTAACCATATGAACTTTGTATGTAACCATATGAACTTTGAAAGACATATTAATAGAGAGACTGAAGTACATGTAGCATATTACAGGGCATAAAGAGACAGACCTAAAATGGAGCAAGTGCTAGCTAGAGAGTAATTATGTGGGAGATGAGGTGGCCTAAAATAAACTGGTTTTAGCACAAAAAACAGCAGAAGTTTTATAGAGAGTACGAAACATATTCATATTTGAGTCAAAGAAGAAATTGTTTTTTTGGAGATAGAAGGGTGTTCGCTCTGCAGTATTTGAGTTAATGCCCTCCTAGCTCTAAATGAACAGATGGGAGAATGGGAGAGGGTGTGATAAGATGTTTGACGTCCTTATGCAGTTATTTTTAATCAATCAACAAACATTGCATGTTTAATTTGTTATCCTTGCTTCACCTGTTAATTTGATTATTTTCATAGCATGACATCTGTTGCAATTCATTTTGTTTTTCACATCTGTGTTTTTTGCACAAACGTGTGATTTGCAGATCAGCCAATCAAAGTATTGCTGAGATAATATTTGAATAGTGCTGCCGATGCTGCCATTGTGTTTGATGTCAGGAGCCATGTTTTAATACATCTTTCCAAAAGTGATAATTTACACTATGTTAAACTTTACGTAAGATTAAGTCGGGTCCCTTCATATTATAAATCTTTTACAGTGATAATACTCTAATATGTATTTTGTAAAAATGTATTTATTCTCAATAGCGATTCGTATTATAATCAAAGACAGGTATAGCATGAATAGTTAATATTACAAATAGAGAATTCATGAGTTATCAAATATATCTATTCTTTTACTTTAACACAATTTTAGTGAATAGGTAATGATATTGTGTAAGTTGGCAATATCTTCTACCGGTACTTAGTTATAACCATCAGATATAAATATGTATATTGCCCCACATAGAATTATTCAAATTTGTATCATCAATTTCTCGTTTTGTTTTCTAACTTTTCTATTCTGAATTAAAATTGATGTATACTTATACCAGACACTGTCATAGCTGTTAAGACACTAACACAGCCTCTTCATAATATCAACCTTTATATATATTTTTGCCTAAAAACATGTAGCAGAGTTTTCATTTTTGCCATATTGTTGTAAAATTATGAAAAGTGTAGACAATGATTTGATATCATAAAACTGATAGTGCATTAGGGGAGTCCAGATACCATTTTCAATATGAGTTAATAATGTAAAGTTCTTTTAACAGTTCAATTTTTTTTTAATTCATGTATTTATAAATGCAGGGTATTCTCTTTAACACTATGCAATCATGCATAGACAAACTCTGAACACAACACAGACTGATTTTTTGTCAGAAGTAAATGTATGTGATGGTAAAGAGTTGGTCCTGTAATCCAACATTTGATAGAATTAACATAATATGGGCAAGTGGTAAGAAAAGTGTTAACAAGCAAGCTACAAGTTCATAAACAATGTGTTAGACAAGGAGGGGTGGTGAAGGGGGAAGGGGCGTGGTGGGGGGGGGGGGGGGGGGGGGGGGGGGGTCCATTAACCCATTGCCTAGTAGAAGCAGGTGGCTCCTGTATGAAGCCTATGGGAATGAGAGAATTCAGTTGTTAACAGGTTAATAGACCATTCATGTGTGTGACCAGTAAAGCCACACCACTGTTGGTTTCCTTGTATGATATGTTGAGAGCTGGTAGGGCAGTAACTCATGTAAATCTGCAGAGTTAATTCCCTTCAGGCTCTCAATACCCAATGTGATATCAACAACAACAAAATTTGAAGAATGTAATAAATTTATGGTTATTTGATAGGATTGTAAAATTCTGATGATTTAGAAATATCTTCAAGTTCACTGAATCAACGTCAAACATGAAGCTCACCCAGATAGATCATACACTGGAAAACCTCAGCAACAACTCTGTTTAATATGTTGCTTTTTCTTTTTCAAGGCAGCATGATGCTGTATGCTGTCCTCTGTTGTTGCTGTATAGTACATTACATGTGTGAAATGGCAATGTTCATGATATGTCAACAATTAAGTGCAATTATTACCTCAAAGATATGCTTGTGTAACAGGAAATAATGGCCTTTCCTGTGTATGTAAATTGATTTAAATTTGTTTTTGGACTTTTTTTTCTCTGAGTATTTTGATGGTGTAAAGAAAGGGCAGAGTTTAATTTCAGCTCACTGCTCTCCAATGTGCAGAGGTGAATGTCAGACATTCATTTATCAGAGATATTGACAAAGGACAAAAGGAGTATTATAAAGGCCTTCTGCTTCTCATCTGATATTACCAACATGCATAATATGCATTCAGAAAATTCACTATGTCAGCATTTAACACACAATTCCACTCAAGGTATTGCATTTTTTCATTTCTGGAAATTCCCATTTACCGAGTGTTTCGTCATAGCATTGCTAAATATAGGCTGAGAGTAGCTATTGTGTTATTTTAGCAATTATGTCTGTATGTCTAAAGACAAGGAACTATTGTATATGCTATCAATTTCAGCTTGTCAGAACTTGTAATCTTAGGAAGTATATATTGTAAAGAGGGTTGCCAACTTGATTTCCTTTGATCTTCCCCAAGCTGCCAAACAGGATTACATCTCAAGAGAACATCCAAAAGATTTGTGAAGAACATTTAGATACAGCCAAAATCAAGCAAACGTGGTTCTGCATTTTGTGGAATATGCTTTTTGAATATTGAAAATTGAGACTTATACAACCTTTCATCCTCTTGAGAGAGATGGATTTCTAATCAGTCACTGCAAATCGGGAGAGAAATGTACACTCAAATTATGATTTCTTTTTAAATTGCTTGACAAGACGTAGGATGGAGAATATTTGCTTTACATAATCTTGGTAATACTGGAATATTTGAGTACCGGTAGTCAGCTGGAGCTACGTGTACATGAAGTGACTATCATTAGATGTTTCGAGCCGTATTGATACGGGAAATAAATCAATTTCTCTTCTGTATAGATATATTCACACAATATACCAAACAAATTGTATCATTTGCTTTATCATAGAATGCTCAGTTGTATATCTCTGTGATTTCATGTTGTTTATATAACCGCCAATGGTTACAAAGCATTGCAGGTGTACATGTAGTTCATAGGTTGTCCAATGTCATTATGATCCATGATTGCTAAAGCTACACAAAGCGGTTCAGTTACGGGTAACTATAAAAGCATGACTTGCCCAAATGATGGAGAAAAACATTATCATACATGAACCATTATAAGAGCAAGAAGGTTTCTAACTAGGTGTAATTAGTCAACCCCCACCCAACTCCTGGTACTGGTAGATGATTTCTATTTTGTGGTTTTACCTGTAGGAAGTGAAGATTGCAACATGATTGTTTCATCAAAGTTATAAATGCCAAGGCTATATTTCATCATCAAAATACATAGTCATCAAAGCTTGAGCTTCTTTCAAACTGCTATCTCCATATACCAGATCTATATCTGCCCTTGTAGCATATTAAGGCATATAGTAGTAATGTTACATCTTATTAGGAAGCACAAAGCCAAAGTATTTACATGTATATTTATGAAAATTTGGATGGTTCTGTAGATGCAAAATGACAGTTCTACTAACCAGTTAGGAAACGTTTCTGTTTTATCTGTTGAGTGAGGAATTCTCTTTTATTGTATTTGAATGGAATTGAGAGACACTTGCAATATTTTTATTTTTTAAAGTTAGGAGATAGTGCTTTGTGAATTTAGTGTTGTATTTTATCAACTACAAAACTGTGTCCTATAGCCAAAAAAAAATCATACAAGTGAGTTCTATTAAAATTGCAAATTAAAAATGGATATCGATGTCCACTACGGTTCAATATCTGCCTTGTATCCTTATAAAACATGGGCTACATGTAGTGAAGCAGAGTTCTGGTGTATTCATTTTGTCAATCATCATTGGTGCTTGTGTAAATGTAGTCGTTCTGAAAAGCAAATTTTATTTTTTCACAAAGATTAACAAAAATTGTGCAAGATATTTTAATGTGCCTCTATTCTCATACCCCTATCACATTGCCAAATTGACTCAAAAACCAACGGATATACCCACATAATCTATGTCATGGGGTAATGTAATTTTCTTTCTAGTCTGTTGTCCATCTCGTTTATATGAATGGGGTATCAATGTCAGAATAAAATAAAATTGATAAATTTGCCTCCAGTTGAAGTTTGGCAGGTCATTGTTCAAAGCATGTGAATAATTATTTTTGAGACAGCATGTAGGGATGGCCTTCTGAAAACTGTTTTGTCTTTTGAATCCATGAAAGGTCTTTTATTTCACGTAATTTTTAATCTTAAGAGAATATCTGGGACTTGTGTCGTGAACTCTATGCATATGCAGCCACATATGCATAGACATTTAACAATGACTTTTTAAGACAGGTTGTTGACAATGAGAAGGCCTCTTAATGAATTAGAGAGAAATGGTTTTCTGAATACAGACCCAGGCTTTCTTCATAACATTTGAACACTTTTAGTGAAACAGTTTTTTTTTTCTTTCTTATCTTATCATAGCTCTTATTTCTCCCTGGAAAGGCCAGTAAAATAAATATTGGAGTCATCCTGTATTATTCATTGCTTCATTAACCATGAGTTTGCTTATTATCTCCTTTTCTTTTGTACAACTGCATGTTATGATGTACTTTAATGAAACTTATTTTTATTTTTCTGAGACGTGTTCATATTTAGCTAATATGATATACCCCCGATTTTACTGAGCCACTTGAAAGTTACTTTGAAATTTATCCTCTTCATTGTCTAGTTATTTTTTGTTTAAAATCTAATGTCAAATTGTCATTTAAAAGATTGGATTCAAAGTGATATGGATTATTTTTTATCCTGATTAACTATTAAATGGTAACATGTTCATATACATTTGTAAATTTAAAGGTGAATGTTAGATCTGTTCTATAATAAAATATTAAAGATATTCAATTGAATCAACTTGTTCATTTCATTATTCCAGTCTCTAGATCTGTTTTAAAGAATTAATGTAAGCTAGACACAGCAATGTAAACTCAATGCAAAATGTATACCTTTTATTTGAATGATTTTTAATGCATCTTCTTTATATCAATAAAACTAGTCAAGTCTTTGAATTTTATGACGGCTTTTTAGTGGCGTTTTCATTGAATCTTCGTCACTGTCGAGTTCATGTCGACCTCGCTTATGACATCTGGAATAACTTTCCTCTACAAGGTTTATAAGTTCTTTCTCTTCACACGACTCAAAGTCGGAGTCATTCTCAAACTCTGATGCTGAGATGAACATATCAAGCTCGTTGTTT